AAATCACTTTTGGTGGTGCTCAGGGAACCATATGGGGACTGAACCTGGGTCGGCCACCTTCAAGACAAGTGTCCAACCCACTGTACAGTTGCTCCAGCCCCTCAAGGGCTTCTTTAATCCACTCAGACCTTATCTTGCTGCTGTTATATGCTGGGTCACATGTGGTGGCAGTTGGGGGCTACTCCAGCGTTTGACGATTGCTTCTAGTGGTGCTGAAGGGATAACAGGTCCCAGGGATCATGTCAGGATCCCCAGTATGCAAAGCACATGCATTAGCACTTTGGACTATCTCCCTAGCACCTGGACCCTATTTTAGCTATGGCCTGAACCCCTCATGTGCCTCCCAGATACACCCCGTTAGATGCCTCAGTGATGAATAAAGCAGAAGTAATGCATTTAAAGCCTCTCACCATGATGTGCATTTGCCTTTATTGGGACCTCAGGGGCACACAATTTAATCAGCCACAGACTTTGATTCATGACCCCTTGTCATCGTTAGCCCATGCATGGCCTAGCTTTATTTTTGCCTTTATGGGTTTCTGTGTAGAGTAGTAAATATAATAAATTTAGCACCCATTCTGAAACGAGATCATTGCCCACCCCCACCTCCCAGGCAGTATTTTCTTCTATTTATTCCTTCCCCAGGGGAACATTCTCTCGGACAGTTTCTCTTGGACAGTGTTTGTCCTTGTCCCGCTCTGTGTTTCCTTTCATGCTAGCACGTCCATCTCTCTAAATAGGAGTGTCTGTATTGGAACTCTGTTAGTCACTGGCACTATCTGAGTCAGTAAATGCTCAAGACACGTTGCACACAACCCCCCTTGGAGACCCAAGTCCTGAAGCCCAAGTGTGTTCCCAAAAGCCACCTCAGATCACAAATAAGGCTATTGACAGGTAACAGTGTAACTGTGGGGAGATCTACAACAGTTTAACAACAGGGGAGAATGTCCACTCTGAGTTTGAGTCAAAAGAGCTTCCAAGGTATCCAAGATCACCCTAGGTTTGTAAAAGTGAAAAAAACAAAAGGGTCTAAGGATTAATCAATTTCTGAATGGCGCTATAAGAATAATAAAATATCAGGGTTGGTTTATTAGCTTTGATTCTTAAAAATATTTTCCCTTGGAGGGGCTGGAAAGCTAATACAGCAGCAGGTAGGGCACTTGCCTTGCATGCAGCTGACCCAGGTTTGATCCCCAGCACCACTTATGAAATTCTGAGCCCCTTCAGGAGTGATCCCTGAGCATAGACCAGGGAGAAAGCCCTGAGAACAGCTGACTGTGGTCCCAAAACCCCCATTTTTTCTCCAGGTAATATATTAGTGTATATATACAGGGATTATTTTTTTCATGTCACTTTCCTCTCTCTCATTACTTGCGTATAGGAAGGCCATGGATTTTGGGGCATTGATTTTATAGCCTGAGACTTTACTGTATAAGTCTTTTGTTTTTAGGAGTTTCTTGGTAGATGATTTAGGATTCTCAAGATATAGTATCATATCATATGTGAATAGTGAGAGCTTGATTTCTTCCTTTCCTATCTGGATGCCTTTAATGTCTTTTTCTTGCCTAATCGCTATTGCAAGTACTTCCAGTACTATATCAAACAGAAGTGGTCATAGTGGGCATCCTTGTCTTGTCCCTGATCTTTGAGGAAAGGCCCTTAGTTTTTCCCCATTGAGGATAATGCTTGTCATGGGTTTGTTGTAGCTGCCTTGACTACCTTGAGGAAAGTTCCTTCAAAACCCATTTTGGTGAGAATTTTCATCATAAACGGGTGCTGGATCTTGTCAAAAGCTTTCTCTGCATCTATTGATATGATCATATGGTTTTTATCTTCACTTTTGTTGATATGATAGATTATGTTGATTGATTTTCGAATGTTAAACCATCCTTGCATCCCCGGGATGAATCCCACTTAGTCATGGTATATGATCTTTTTGATGAGTTGTTGGATTCTATTTGCTAATATTTCTGGAAGTTTTATAGTCTCTAGGTCTTGGCCATTGATGGGATTACATGGTGCTGGGGGCAGTTGGTGGGTGTAACGCCTACATACTGTAAGATAGGGGATCTGGATGGAGGAGGTCCAGTCCCAATCCGAGCAGGCTTGGAGATCTAAGCCCCAGGTCTCGCACACCTGGGTTTCTCTGCCTGTTCCTTCATGCATGAGGCTCGTCCGAATGTGTGGGCAGTGGTCTTAAGTATGACTGTGGCTGAACCGGAGGTTTTCAGCTGCCGAGGCTCTGCTTGGGGGCAGGGAGGGAAATTCAACCTGCCCTCCTCCAAGGGGCCCCTGTGAGGACAGCCTAGTGTGGAGGCAGGAGACTCTGCGCTGTTCTCTTCCGGGAGGAGGGTTTTATAGTCTCTGAGTCTTGGCCATTGATGGGATTACACAGCTCCAGGGGCAGTTGGTGGGTATCTTATTATCTAGTTAATAACATCTCATTATCTAGTTCTCACTCTGGAGAACCTGGCAGGCTACCAAAAGTATTCTGCCCGCATGGCAGAGTCTGGCAAACTCCCCGTGGCATATTCAATGTGCCAAAAACTGGTAACAATGATGGGTCTCATTCTCCTGACCATGAAAGAACCTCGAATATGGCACTTTCTAAAATCTCAGGGCTAGGACGAAGGAGACATTACTGATGCCTGCTCGAGGAAATCGAAGAACAACAGGATGACAGTAATACAGTGATATATACAGGCATATATAGTTTATTTAAAATACCGATCCCTATTATAACCAGATCAATGGCATTGGGAGATGGGGAGACCCTTTATGTCAGCCTCAGAGGGGTCCTCCCTCCAGGTACCTCCCACTGAGTGGGAGGGAGGGTGGAGTCTTTCCTTGTGTGTTGGGGTGATGGGTCTGCTCATAAGCCAGTATCACCTCCCAACAGAGAGCTCACTGGGGGACACATGGGCCTTCCTGAAACGTGGGGGTGGGGGGGCTTATCTCCTGTCTGATGGGCATGGTCTATCTCCATAGTTTCTGTTCCACAGGTGTGATGCGACTCTGGACAGGGTATTGCCATCTCTCAAAATGGGGAGGCTGAGGTCTCTCAGAAGAGGAAATGAGTTCTGAAAACCCTTATGTTGGAGCATCAACCCCAGAACCAAATCGTGGGACCCTTATTTGGAAATAGGTAGCACTGTAGCACTGTCCTATAGCACTGTCCTCCCGTTGTTCATCGATTTGCTCGAGCAGGCCCAGTAACGTCTCCATCATGAGACTTTGTTACTGTGTTTGGCATATCGAATATGTCACGGGTAGTTTGCCAGGCTTTGCCATGCGGGTGAGATACTCTGGGTAGGTTGCTGGGCTCTCTGAGAGGGGCGGACTAATCGAACTCTGGGTCAGCCGTGTGGGCCACGTGCAAGGCAAATGCCCTATGCACTGTGCTACTGCTCCAGCCCAGGAAATAGGTAACTGGGTTAAAATTAAGCCATAGGATGGACCATAATACAGTGTGAGGAGCATCTCTATAAGAAAAGGGGATGACGCCCCCCACCAGTGAGAAGGGCCGATCCTGAAAACAGGAAGCAACGGAGTGGGGGGGACGTGGGGGGTGTGGGACATAGCAGCCTCTTCGCTGTGGCTGGGAATGTCTTCTGGTTCCGCTGCTACGGAAAATAGTATCACGATTTCTCAAAAAAGTAAAAATAGAACTCCCATAGGACCCATTAATTCTTCTTCTACTTGGCATCCATCTGGAGAACACACAGTCATTGAAAAGACCCACATATACCTATGTGCACGGCAGCCCTAGTTCCATCAGCCGAGGTTTGGAAACAACCCAAACGCCCCGTGACAGATGAGTGGGTATAGAGAAATGACTCGGTTGGAAGAGCCGCCGAATGCTTGCCTTTCGTGTGAACGTTGCAGGAGCTGGAGGAGGTGGTGCTCAGGGAAATAAATCAGAGGGAGAAGGACAAAGATCGCACTCATCTCTGGCGTGGAGAGAAGGCGATGAGGGAAGGAACGGTGGAGAATGAAAACAAACCCTGGGCTCAGCCGACAGACAGAGGTTACTGGGGCAGAGCCAGGAGCAGAGGGCAGGGAGGGAGAGGGGGCACGCAAGAGCCCCACTGTAAAACATTTAGAACAGAAAGAGAAAAAATGACAGGGATGGGGTCCTCACACCGAGTGAAGACCCCTCTGAAACCCAGGGAAAAGAAGGTGCCCTGGGACCTGAGGTGAGAGCCTGCGGCCACCGTCCTAGCCCCTCCAGCCTCCAGAACCACGGGCCAAGGACACTAACACAGCAGGGCAGGGCCCGTCCAGGACACACCAGGAGGCGAGGTGGATCTGGACTTGGCTGACCCTGCTGTTAGGAGGGCGGCCCAGCAAGGTCTCCTCTCCCAGTCTGCCTTCGAAGCTGGGTCCTGGGGCTGGCCACTGCCCTTGATCCCAGGAGCCGTGACATCGGCCCCCTGCTGTCCTGTCTCCATCTTCTTCAGTCCCTGGATGCGGACCCCAGGGGATCGGGAGGCTGGGCGGAGCAGAAGGCCAGGCTATCATCTTGGATGCGATGGCTCAGACTCTGGCTGAGCGCTCAGCACAGGGACCCTGGCTACTATTTCTGGGGTCCTTCCCAGGAGGTGACACCTGTAGCCACGGCAACCAAGCCCATCTTGTCTTTTTCACACCTCCGGAGCCTCTGCAGGCTCCTGGAAGCCAGCCAGCCTCCTTCCCTGCTTTTGCTTAGAAACAGGGGCCACTCCCGGCAGTGCTCACGAGAGCAGGGGATGGAGCGCAGGGCCCCACTCAAGCTTGGCTCATGCTCCAGCCCCCCCAGGTCACCTGCTGGCCGCCCCTTGGGCTTCCCTGGAGAGTTGGGAGCCGAAGGTTCCTCGCCCAGCCCTTCGGCAGCAGCATCGTCCTCATGGAGCTGAGCTCCAGGCACCGAACCGACCCAGGGAGCCTCGGGAACCAGGAGCCAAGCCAGCCCGTGCCCGGGCCCGGCTCCTCTCCGGCCGTCGTGGGTGGGGGCAGCATACCTGGGAGGTCTGCGAGGGTGGTGGCAGCCGAACAGAACTGCTCCAGCACAGCCCACACCAGCTGCTCTCGGGACACCTGGCTCGGCCCAGCTGCCTAAGGGACAAGGGAGAGGGGCCAGAAGTCAGCACAGGTGAGCCGCTGCCAGCACCGCCCTCGCATGTCCTGTTGGACCCACTCCCTGATCCCTACGGTCAGCGTCCTCAGGACCCACAGCAGAATCAGCTTGGCCAGGCCTAGAACACGAAGAGGCCTGCGGAGCCTTGGGCCGCTGTGGTCCTGAGGCAGGAATCTGCCCCGTCCACTTCCGATCCCCTGCCCTGCAGTGTCCTCCTTGGGATGTGGGCAGCCCTGGATCCTGCAGTAAAGTCAGGGCTGGAGGAACCGCCCGCAACTATTCATGTGCTGGGTAACGGTGCCCTATTTGGAAAGAGCAGAAGGAGCGAGCACCGGTGGGAGCCTCTCACCCAGCACACAGCACAGGGGAGCCAGCTCCATGCAGGAGAAACACCTAACCTGGATGGGGAAGAAATGGCACTTTGGGGCACTAGAAGGATGAGGAGGTGTGAGAGGGGAGGAACCCATACTGCCTGGGCAGTGCTCATCAGGGAGCTGATGCGACTGTGGCAACACAGGCAAACCCATCCGAATGGCAAAGCTACCCAGGGTCCCGTCATCTGAACACGCCATAAGAATGGGCAAGGAGAGAAAAGATGACCATGGTGAAGGTGATGGGAGACCAACCTGGCTTGGCAGGTGCGTTCTGTGCATCAGCACTGGGGCAGTGCTGCGGAGGAGGAGGACACGCCAGTGTGGGCTCTGAAGAGCGCATAGGAGCCTGCCAGGGAGGGCCGAGTCTGGGGGATGTGAGCTCCACCAGGGTCGTGTACTTTAGCATCCCAGCCCCTGTGCCACCGGCTTTCCTGTGTGGCTCCTCCTCCCCTGGGACCCATGTGTGTGCGAGCGTGCGGGGCTCCAAGTGTCCACAGCCCCCCCCCTCCCGCCCCACCAGGGCGGAAGCTCCGGACTGTCCTCGCATTCGATAAGGAAGCCAGCGAATGTGCGGTCTTGGCCGCATGTGCATGTCAAGAGGCCAATGAGCGTGCTGTCTGGGCGCCTGGCGGCCAATGAGCATGTCATTTGGGCTGGTGGGCCAGCAGAGACCATTTGCAATTACAGTCTGAGCCCTGGGCTGTGCCCGCAGGCAACCAACTACCACCCCAAGTTCGAGGCGCCAGGAAGTGGTTTTTCTGCAACCACTGGGCCAGGCTCCCTGGCTGCCCAGAGCCTTGTTCTACAGCACAGCAACAGCTCTCTGTGGCCAGGGTCAGCGCATGCTCTCCTCACAGGAGTACTCAGGGCTGGGGGTCCAAGCCCTACGCCAGCCCTTCTCTGGAAAAGCTGTGTAGATGCCCCTCAGTAGGAGCAGGGGGCTCTGTGGGAAATGGGGCATCACACAGACGAGATCAGCGGCTGCAAGGACCTGGTCCAGGGGCAGCCGCGGGGTTGGGGAGCGTGTGAGGGAGGAGGGAGACAGTGGGGCGGGGAGGGTGTCCTGCAAGATCCAGAGAGGCCCAGCTACCCAGGACGGACCCCCGCGGCCAGGGCAGGACAGGGCATGCCAGAGCCAGGGGCTGCTCAGAGCCGAAGGAGAAGGTGGGGTCCCCGGAGCTAGGAGAGCCCGGGGGAGCTGGCTGCAGGCTGGGACCGGAGCTTGGGCCTGTCATGTGTGCGGTGCCGGCATCATCGTCATTGTCCTCAGAGGGACGTTCCTGGCCACCACCAGCACTGGTCAGCTCAGCTGGGCCCCACTGCCACAGCTGGCCCCCCGCATCCATCTTCAGCTCGCAGCTGGGGCCTGACCCCCAGCCGGCGGCACTAGACCGAGTGTGGACAGTGAGACCAGCCCCCTGCTCCCGGGTGTGCTGCCCCTCCCCAGTTTCAGGGACAGAGCTGTTCTGCCTCAGGCACAGCTCACTGACCTTCCACCCACACCCGGCAGGGCCTTGGGTGCCTCTTCAGGTCCCTGCTGGCCTGGGTGAGAAACCCCTCCTGAGCCCCTCCCCAGCCGCAGTGCCCCTTAGAAGTGCTCAGGGGAGTGTCGTGGCCGGGCAAGGGTGGTCAGGTACCCAGGCTTTCTCTGCTCTTGCTCCCCTGTGGATCTGATACATTCAGAACCTGTACCCAGGGGCTGAGCAGCTCTCAAAGGAGTCACTTCCCAGGAGCCTCTGTGGGGGGTGGGGGGGCACCGTGAGCCAGCCGCTAAGTGCTGGCCTGGCCACAGAGGCTGCATCTAAATTTAGCCTCTGGTCTAAGCTGGGAGATTTACCTAGCACTGGCCGGGCTGCCAGCGCCTGGGCACAGGATGAGCCGCTCCTGACTCTTCCCTCTCCGCCCAAGGTCAGGCAAGACCGTCCTCCTCTAGCACGGGGGATGGGGGGTGCTCCCCACTGTTTTTGCTCCTTCTGTTCTGGTCAGAAAGGACGCCAGGAGAGGGAGAGTAGAGAGGGAGGGAGGAGGGACAGCACAGGAGCAAGGAGAAGGAAAACGGAGGGGAGAAGGTAGGGTAGGAGAAGTGGACACGAGGGAGGAGGCATCCCCCTGGATCCTGAAGGGATGCAGTATGCAGGGCTGCCCCAAGTATGCCAAGGCACAGGGGGAGGGGGTGGGGTGCCCTCCCAAGAAGTCGGTCTTTGTTTCAGGGATCATCCTGGAAGGCTTCCTGAAAGAGGCTTCTAAGTTTCCAGGTGTTGGCTCTCTGCTGAGATCCTCCTCAAAAGCAGCTGCTTCGTCAACTCTCTCTTCCCAAGACATCCCACTCTTCCCTCCCATGCTGAGTCAGTCACTCTCACAGCTCCCGGGGAACCGTCTAGCTTTCTCCTTTTTATATAGTCCCTCACCTTGGAAAGTCTGTGGGTCCCTCCTGGTCTGCCAAGCCCCCGGCTCTCCTTGCTCTTGCTCCCCTGTGTCTGAGGGTAGTGGAAGGGTGGAGGTCCACCTTAGCTTAATAACGGTGAGGGGGTCCCTATAAAGCGCATTTAACAGGCCCGGAATGGTCCTAACATTCAGCTCTCCCACATCTAGCCCCCCCTAAGAAGCAGCCCTTCTGATGGGCTTTGAAGCCTGTCGCAAATATGACCTGGCCTTAAGGCCGAGTCACTGGGGAATGAGGTTTTTACTAGCAACTAGGAGCCTGGCACCAGACTGACTGCTTTGAACCTTGGCCATGCCACTTACCAGCCGAGTGACTTTGGGCATGTAACCGTGCCCTGTTACTTAGCTGCCCGATGACGGCCTATTCCTTGGGGTGCCTGAGAATCCAGAGGAGTCTACACTCAGACAAGGCTAAGGGGTGGTGATCCCCACACAACAATTAAACGAAACAAATGCATGGACCATCTGCCCTTCTGTCTGCTGGATTGGCAATCACATCTTTTAACTATAGATTTTTGAATCAAGTGACTTTGGACTAAGTGACTAAAGAGTTCCTCCAAATAGCTAAAATTAGGTAAAATAGAAAATTACAGTTAAGAGGCTACAGAACGGTCCCATAAATCATAAAGTGCCATGAATTTGAGACTTACTTAGAGTACCAAATTAGACAACAACCTCGGACAAATTGGTTTTTATAGAAACTATTTAAATTTCACCAAAATGGCAGAACCACAGGGACCAACTTAGCTGATTAGGTTAGAAAACACTTAATGGGACTTGGGGTGGGGGGCACAAGTCATTAACTGAATTAGCTTCTGGCAAAAGGCCTTCCTGTGCCCCCCCATGCCGACCGGGGTGTGTGGGGGTGCAGGGCTGGGGTTGGGTTCTGGATGGATTACAGAGGTTTTGAGGCCTCTCTTTTGGCTGAGACATCTCAGGACAGCCCAGCCCAGCCCTGTTATGTCAGAAGCCAGGCTTATGTCAAGAGTCTCCAGTGCAATGTCCTACCCTGGGGTCCGAGTTGGGTGGGACACTGTGCTCTCTGCCCAAAGGCCAGGCAGCCTGGCCAGGAGGGGGTGGGGTCTTCACATGAAGTCTCTAAAGGGTTCAAATCAGGGTTTGGCTTAAGCAGAAAATCACTCAGCCACCCTGGACTTCCACATGGAACTTTTTTTTTTTGAAGGGGGGATGAACACCTGGCAATGCTCAGGGGTTGCTCCTGGTTCTGCACTCAGGAATCACTCCTGGCGGGTGTGGGGGACCACATGGGATGATGGTGATTGAACCCCAGTTGGCGGCATGTAGGGCAATACTTCCCCACTGTCCTATAGCCCCGGCCTCCCAACTTCTGTTTTTGAGGGACCCCTATTTCTGTTCTGTTTGTGAGGGACCCCCATTTCTGTTTTAGAAAGCACTTAGGGGTGCCAACAACAGGCTGCCCGATGCGGCTTCCCCCAGAGGGGCTTCTTCCAGGGGCTCCCAGGCACCCCCTGGAGCACCAGAGCTAGGCTGGGCTGCTCCAGCGCCCTGTGGTGTGGGCTGGGCCAGGGTATTCTTGGGGACAGCAGCTGGAACTGGCCCAACTGCAGAGCCATCAGGCCCGGCTGGCGGTGGAGCCCCCAGCCTTGGAAGGAACGCCCCCTGCAACCCTCTCCCCCTGGGCTCTCCTGAGCCCCTTCCTCCTGCCAGGGTGCCCCTCTCAGGCCCTCACCTTGGCCATCCTGCTGCTCGGCCGCAGGGCAGGCACAGTCTGTACGCACAGACTCAGCCCTGCTTCTTATCTTCCTCCTACTGAGGGTTCCTTCCAGGCCCAGCTCTGGCAGACATGTGTCACAGCATCCTGCGGGGAACATGAAGGCCCCAACCAAGGCCAATTTCCTCCTCTAGGTGATGTGGGGTGGGGATTGGTCTCTGGTCTCAGCCTGCTGCCCTGGAGCCTCTGAGTCCCCCATTCCAACACTCCCAGAGCTCAGGGCCCTGCCTGAGAGCCCCTTCACCCTGCCTGGTTCTGGGGCAGCAATGGGGACCCTGCAAGTGCTGTGGGTGAGGGCCATGCATTCAGGGGTTGCAGGCCGGTGCTCTGGGAGGACAAGAACATATGCGCACATGTGAGTATGTGAGCATGTGCATGCGTGTGTGTAAGTGTGAGCAGATGTGTGAGAATGTGTGTTCATATATATGTACATGCATGCATGAGCTGTGTACACAAGTGCATGTGAGTATGAAAATGCATGCATGTGTGTATGTATGTATGACAACATGTGTGTGCATGCGCATGCATATGTATGTCAATGAGCATGTTCATGTGTGTGATAGTGTGTAAGCATGTCCGTGCATGTGTGAGAGCACGTGTATGCAAGGGTGAGAGCATGCTGCACATATGTGAGCATGTGTGTGAGTTGTGTATATATGTGGGTGTGAGAGTACAGCAATCTGTATGTGCATGCATTTAAACACATGTATGCATGCATGTGATTAATATGTGTGTTGTGTGCATACGTGTGCATGAGTGTGTAGGTAAAGGTAAAGGTAAAGGCCCTCCCGTTGTTCGTCGATTTGCTCGAGCAGGCCCAGTAACGTCTCCATTGGAGACTTTGTTGTTACTGTGTCTGGCATATCGAATATGTCACAGGGAGCTTGCCAGGCTCTGCCGTGCGGGCGAGATACTCTCGGTAGCTTGCCGGGCTCTCCGAGAGGGGCGGAGGAATCGAACTCGGGTCGGCCATGTTGCCTGCGTGCAAGGCAAACGCCCTACCGCTGTGCTATCGCTCGGAGTATGTATGTGCACGTATATGTAAATCTGGGCATACACATATGGCACGCAGTGGCATGTGTCAGTGTGTGCATGTGTAAGTGTTTTGTCATGTGTGTGCAAGAGCCTAAGTGTGCACATGTGGGATTGTAGCCCAGGACTTCCAGGAGGGGGTAGTGACAAGCACCTCCCACAGCCTCAACCCTGCAATGTCCCTAAAGGACTGACTGATCTGAGCGGCCCAGGCTCACCCCACCCAAGGGCCCCCCAGAAGGTGGCCCCTCAACACAGTCCTTTGTGCCCTCATCTGACCGGAGAGGAAGGAACTGTGGCGGGAAGCCATGTAGTCCAGCCTGAGGTTCTAGCGGCACTGGGCTGAACACAGACAGTGGCCGGGAGCATGGGACTCGGGGGAGGGGGGGGGAATTGAGACTCGGCTAAGGCCCCTGAAGCAGGTATGGGTGGGAGGCAGGGCAGTGCCCCGTGTGATCAGCTGTGCCCCTAACTATGAGGCCCCGGGAGCCTTGGATGACACACATGGTGCCCACCCTCTCTGAGCACTCTCCCCCGAGCTCCACTTCCTCCCAGCCCCGCTCTATTTTCACTTCTGCCCAGCTCCTTCCCTTGGTCACCAGCCCCACAGGCAGATTCCGACTCTAGCAGAGGATCGGGGTGGATGTGTGTTTGCACTAGGCCCTCAAGAACCCCTCTGCCCATTGCTTCTTTGCTGCCAGGGTTGCCTAGTTCGGGCATTAGGAGGAGGGTGAGTTGGGGGCTGGAGCGATAGCACAGAGGGTAGGGCGCTTGCCTTACACATGACTGACCTGGGTTCGATCCCCAGCATCCCACATGACCCCCCTGAGCCCGCCAGGAGTGATCACTGAGTGCAAAGTCAGGAGTAAACCAGGTTTACAAAAAAAAAAAATTAATAAAAGCAAAAAAAGATGAGAGTGAACCAAAGAGGGGCTGCAAGAGGTGTGGCCGACCGTGTATGGGGGTGCACAGAGGTGGGAGGGGACTAGAGATTCCTTGGGGAAGGCAGTGAGGAGGGGAGCTCTGTTCACAGGCCCTTCCTGTCCACCCTTCCTCTCTCTGTTTCAGGGACACCTGCCCCGTGATCTCCCCAGATAGGAGGGGGCTAGAACCTCAGTGCAATTGGGGTGGGGGGTTCTGTGTGTTCTCATCAGGAAGGGAGATTCTCACCTCAGGCTCAGTGATCTCTAACCCACAAAGGTGGGCCATAGGCTTAGTTTGGAAACCACCGTCTTACTCTGTCTTACTCTATCCCATAGTCACATTTGCGGATCCCCAACCCCAGGGGGGGCCACTGAGCTCTGAAATGGCCCCTTCCCCCTCTCCCCCCTCTACATACACACACAAACCCACTCTCAGCAGCTGAACCAGGCCGAGGACAGCACCAGCCTGTCATCCTGTTCACCCAGTTCCAGGCGATGCAGCTCCCGCGCCCCACCGGACCCAGCACCCAGCACCCACCCAGCACCCACTCAGCACTTACCGTGAGCAGCGCTGGGAGGAGTTGGAGCAGGCAGAGGAGCGGCTGAGGGGCGTGGAAGGGGCGCGGGGTCCCCATGCCCAGGCTGGCCGGGGCACAGCGCACCTCCCCGCGCCCTGGGCGCACGCCGCCAGGCCCCTGGTCCCTTGACTCCTCTGAGGCGGTCAAGGTAGGGCCCGGCGGGGCTTCCCGGGCTCCCCTCCCCCAGGGCGCCGCACCGCCCCGCCGCCCGCCCCCTTGGCTATTTATAGCCTTGCGCGGCTCAGCCTGGCCCTGCCTGGCCTCCAGCCCGCTGGGAAAGGGTTAAAGGCTCGGCCACACTGCCCTTCCCTGATAGGGGTTCCCTCTACCCAGGCAAGGTCTCATGCACCCCCACCCCCACTGTGGTCTGGGAGCTTAGACTTTTGGTTGGAAGACCATCATTTTCAAATAAATATGAGTACATTATTTATCTGAATGTAAATTACAGGAGGCTGGTAGGTGGGAAGGTGAGGGCAGGCTGGTGTTTGGGAAATTCATGTCTGTGGGATGGACACATGGTACAGGGAGTAAGGCGCTCACCGTGATTGGGTTCTATCCCTGCCACTACGTCCGGCCCCTAATGCTCGCCAGGAGTGATCCCTGAGTGCAGAGCCAAGAGTAAACCCTGAGCATCACTGGGTGTCCTGCCTCCCAGAGGAGGAACTGGAGAGATAGCCTAGCCAAAGGGTGCTTGCCTTGCTCTCTTGCACACGGAACATGGCAGACCTGGCTGGGATCCCTGGCACCGGCAGGAGTGATCCCTAAGTGCAGAGCCAGGAGTAACCCTTGGGCATCACTGAGTGTGGGTCATAAAAGGTCATAAAAGGAAACTCATGCTTCTTCCTGAAGGGGCACCCGATTACCCAGTAGTTCAGAGATGCACATGCAGAGAACTAGAACTCATGGATAAACCAAGTCATCGGCACATCCGGCCACAGGGATGGGGGTACACTTTAGATCATCCCTTCAACCTTTATGTCACTGTCACTGTCACTGTCACTGTACTGTCACTGTACTCCAGCTGTTCATCAATTTGCTCGAGCGGACCCAGTAACGTCTCCATGGTGACAATTGTTACTGTGTTTGGCATATCAAATACGTCACGGGTCGCTTGCCAGGCTTTGCCGTGCGGGCGAGATACTCTTGGTAGTTTGCCGGGCTCTCCAAGAGGGGTGGAGGAATCGAACTCGGGTTGGCCATGTTGGCCGCTTGCAAGGCAAATGCCCTACCCACTGTGCGATCGCTCCAGTCCACCTTTATGTCATTTGAAATAAAATGCTAAGACACCCTCAAGCCCCGAATACCATCTCCCTACAGTGGAGCACTCCCCACTGTGCAGAGGTGAGGACCAATGAGGTGTTCAGAGAGCTCCAAAGGCCCCGGATCCCACCCAAAGACCAGCCGTGGTGGGATTCCAGGTCAGCGATCAGGAGGCCCCGAGGCAGCTTGGAGAGCTGGCCCAGTGGGGCTATGCAGGGAGTTAAAGGCTTAAACAGCGTTCCAGCAGCCTGATCCCTGGAAGGCATCTGAGGAATGTGATTAGCTTAGCGTCTCACTAGGTGAGTGGGCGGGTGGGCACAGGTTTGCCAACGCCCACAGGCTCCACACTGCCACAGGGAACACTCTGCGCTGACTCTGGTCACCCAACCAGGGGGGGCTTTTTGGTTCTTTTGTTTGTTTTTGATTTTGAGCCACACCCAGAGATGCTCAGGGTGACTCCTGGCTCAGAGACCATTCCTGTTGGACTTTGGGGACCCCATGGGGTGCCAGGGATCGAACCTAGGTCAGCCATGTACAAGGCAAGCACCGTCCGTGCTGGGCTATCACTCCAACCCCACTTTTCTGCTCCTTCCGCCCCCTCCCTCATTTCTTCCTCCCTGCTCTCTCCCTCTATCATTAACTTTTTTCACCATTTTGTAATTCTTGAGTACCAACTGCAGATGATCTGTCTACTCTATTCTCGTCCTCCAGAGTGAATTGAATGCTCTTTGGACTATGAAACAGCTGCCATTCTGGGAGCAATTTTCCCTTCCTCTTGTGTTGGGTCCTGCTTTCTGAGGTCCATATTCTTTCTTGGTGTCGTCCCCAGTATATTGCTCAGTTCACACTGTAACTTTGCATATTTGATAGTTTTTGCAGGTGGGCTGGCACAGCGGTAGGGTGTTTGCCTTGTGCACAGCCGGCCTGGCCCAGCCGGGTTCGATTGTTCCGCCCCTCTCAGAGAGCCCAGCAAGCTACCGAGAGTATATTCAATATGCCAAACACAGTAACAAGTCTCAAAATGGAGACAAGTCTCAAAATAGATACGTTACTGGGCCCGCTCGAGCAAATCGATGAACAATGGGAGGACAGTGACAGTGACAGTGCTCTCTCCCTCCATGCTGCCCTCTCTGATTGTTCGGCTGCCACAGCCCTCTTCTGCAGTCTCGCAGACCTGGGTCTGGGCCCCTGGCCCTTTCCTCCTCGGAAGGGCCCTCTCCCGCCCTTTATGGAGGCCAGTCTGAATCCAGCTGGGGCAGGACTCGGAGGCCCTCCGGAAGGAGATGGGCTAGAATTGGCCTCTTTGTTGGTAGGGCACCAAGCCTTGCCATACTCAGGGGCCACTTCTGAGTCTGTGCTCAGGGACCACACCTGGTGCTGCTTGGGGGACCATATAGGGTGTTTGAACCAGGGCTGTGGGCCGCTGCATGCTAGGCAAACGCCTTCAGCTTTGTGCTTCTGTTTCTCTGCCCCTCTCTCTGCCCATAGCCTCAGCCCAGTGCTGCGGGGAGGGGGACAGGGGGGTCCTTCTGGGGAGTTTCTTGAGGTGCTGAAGTGGTCTCTCATTCAATCTACTTTCTGGGCCTTGCTGGGTGCTGCGGGAGAGGGAGATCTCAGAGACCTCCCAGTTGCCAATTCTCAGTGTCCACTCCCAACTCAGGCCTCTCCCCTCTTTGTAGGGTGTGTGTGTGTGTGTGTGTGTGTGTGTGTGTGTGTGTGTGTGTGTGTAGGGGAGGCACCTTCACGCAGTGGTGCAAGGCAGTTGAGCACTCAGCAGCCTTTGAAGGAGGAAACGTTGGGCCCAGGGTTTTCCAGGGTGGACGAGCACCTGGGTGCAGTGTGAGGCTGTGAGGCAGAAGAGCGCCCCGAAACACGTCAGCAGAGGGAAAGGGAAGATGCTGGGAAGCGGGAGGAGGTCCCTGGGCTGGGCTGGAGCAGGCCAGGCTGGAGGAGAACTCGATTTCCTCATGTTCTAGAAGACTTTGTGGTGCTAGCATGTAGGCGTGGGCCTTTGAAGGCAGAGATTTCCTCGACTTCCAAACCCACCCCCTGCCACCCCCAGCCCCCAGCCCCCCAGCTAGTTGCTTGCTTGCTGGACTGGCCAGAGTCACTCCCTGTCACTGCCCCTTTGTCCTCTGTCCTCCACGGCACCACCCCACCGGCCTCTCTGGGACTCACATATGAGTTGACGCCCATGAATCCTCACCCCAGGGGCCTCAGGGTGCCTGCCCCGAAGTCAGGGAAGTCTGTACCCCTCTCAGAATAATGGGTTAAAACCTGAAGGCTAAAGATTTTATTTTATTTTTTATGTAGGAGTACTGCTATTTATTCAGCCACTGATTAGCTGATTGGTTTGGGCATGAACTCCACCTTACTTTTTTTTTTATAGTTTTATTTATTTTTCTTCTTATATTTATTTATTGAAAATAAAATAAAATAAAATCTCTGCAACTGTACCTCATGATGTTTCACTAATAAAAATTTTTAAAAAAGAATAAATCTAAAAATAAAATAAAATCTTTAATCAAAATTGCTCAGTAATTATTCTGGCTGTAGTATAAATATAAAACATCTAGTAATCATAACATGTGGAATACTTCATTTTGACAGTTTTGAATTTGTGAAATTAAACATCTATGGAGGAAAAAAAAAAAAACCTGAAGGCTCAGGGTGACCAGAGCATCTCCTGCACTCACCTGCCCCGGTGTGCTCTGGGCCAGGCGTGTTGACCTGCCGGAAGTGCCCAAGCAGCTGGCCCCAACAGATGAAAACTGTGTGTTCTCTGCGGGTGCAGGAAACTCTGCATGTTTGAAGGATGCACTTAGAAGGTACTTGAAGGGAGGGTTGCTTCGTTCAGTGGAAGTGGCTGGGTTTAGCCAGGTACCTCGACGGAAAAGAGGAAGGTGATTTGGACCTGGCTGGGCATGCCCCAGGGACTCAGCAAAGAGGGGACCAGACTGCAGGGCTGGCTCAGAGTGTCCTGGGGGCTCTCTGGTCAGTGGGCAGGCACACCTGTGAGGGCTCCTGGACTTGGAGAACTGGAGGGGATGTGGTATGAGGCTGGAGTGGACACGTGCTGGAGGGAGGGTACAGTGGACAGCTCTTTCTCTCCAGAAGGCCACTGTCTTTTTGAGAAATGTCTTTTCCGTCAGCCTTTCTTTCTCCCCCACACCTTTCCTGCGAGCTGATTCAGACTTCTGTCCCGATTGCCTTTTGGAATATAAGACCAGAGACCCTCCTGGGGCTAGAGGGATAGTACAGCGGGTAGGGCATTGGCCTTGCATATGGCCGACAAGGGTTTGATTCCCAGCATCCCATATGGTACACTGAGCACTGCCAGGAGTAATTCCTGAGTGCAAAGCCAGGAGTAACCCCTGTGCATCGCCGGGTGTCACCCAAAAAGAAAAAAAGAAAAAACAAAGACCATGGACCCTGGGTTATCAGCTGATGTTCTGGGGTTCCTGGGATGCTCACAGACATGTTTGTTGTGTCTGAGATCGAGTTGCCTCATGCCCCTTCGAGAGCGCACACTTCACCCCTAAGTCTGGCTTTACTCTGAGCAGGCACCAAGTTTGCCAAGGATCAGGTGGGTCAGAGGAGGGGCCCCGCCCCACGGGGGGCTGACGAAGGAGGGGGCACTGATCAGAGTGACACAATCCAAAACGCTCCCTTTTGTTGTTGCTTTGGGGTCACATCCTGCAGTGCTCTGGGCTTGCTCCTCGCTCTGTGCTCTGGGATCACTCCCGGCAGGACTCAGGCAAGCACCTGAGCCACTGTGCTACCACCCCAGCCCGATCCACGTTTTCTTAGCTTTGCATCAAAAATTGACAAAC